ATGGAGACAGCAGGACTGGTGTCCATAGCCACTGGGTTCTGATGCTTTACTAGGGAAGACAGCAGAAATGTTTATTCCACCTTTACTGGGACCAGAGCCAACACAAATGCATTTTGATTATGGTCGACATGTGTAAGTATGAGCAAATGGAAAATGAGAAGGATTGAGTTGTCTTGGCTTGAGAGTGACAAGTAACTTGTTGGATGTGGTGACTGACTAGATAAATGATAATCTATAACATCAAAGAATTACTGTGAAATAGTATTTAGTGAAAATATACCAGGACTGTGTTCTAGTATTGCAATATTGCATAGAATGAGAAACAATGGACTCATTTAGTACAAAGAGTCTCAGATTCTCAGCTATTTAAGTACATCTTTTGTTAATTATTCTTGAACATGCTTATCATTTTCTTTCAAATTAGCAGTATCTCAATCACAGTGAGTCAGTTTCTGTCATCTTGAAAGTTATTTGTTTTATTTATACTGTTTGAATTTGTTTTTTGTTTTCAGGTTTAAAAAGTTGGGGGCTGATGGAGAGTTAAATAGAAATATATCTCTATAGTCTACTTTGAGAATATTTTAAAAGTTTACTATGTATACTTTAGAGTTAATGTGTACTTGAACTGTATTTTAGATGTTGATTTCAGACATGTATGTAAGGTTATCTCTCTAGATGTATCATTTATTTTTCTCATTCTAAAATTTTGCAGATGTTTATACCTTGTTAATTTAGTAATTGGAAATCTACTGCTGTGTTTATCAAAATATTCTAGGTTGTCTCAGATTCGCAGTTGAGTATGCTCTGTCACATACATATGAAGAGGATATATGTTATTTTATTTACATTTGGAACAAAACATATTCTATGCTGCTACTTATTATGCTTCTATATTGAGACACAACATTCTAAGAAATACCATATACTGTTTTTGGGTAAACAAGTCAATCATTTAAACTATTGCCTTTTTCTAAGGTTATGTTTTGGGTATTTCTTGTCTGCTTGCGACAAGATAAAATTTTCTGAGATAAGATACCTGAGTTGAGCGAATGCTTCTTTCAAAATTGCCTGTAGGAAAGTCTGTAGGGCATATCCTTGATTAGTGCTTGATGTGAGTGTGTAACCCTTTAGGGGCAGTGCCACTCTTTTACAGGTGGTCCTGAGTGCAGAGCAAGCCATGAGGATCAAGCAAGTAATCAGTGTTCCTCATGGCTTCTGTTTCACTTCCTGCCTTCAGGTTTCAGCCTTGAGTTCCTGCTCTGATTTCCTTCCATAAGTACTGTTAGGTGGAAATGTTAGATGATATGAACCTTTTTCTTCCCAGCTTGGTTTTGGTCATGGTGTTTAATCACAGCTCTAGAACTTGTAACTAAGAGAGAAATTGGTACTGGGTTAGTGGGATATTATTAAGACACAATTGACTGTTTTAGGAAGGATTTGAAAGAACTTTGTAACTTTGGGATATAACAGCTATTGAATATTTAGAGATTAATGAATTATTGTGGAAATTTACAAGGTAATCTGGAGGGAAGTGCAGATGATGGAGGCCTGGCTTGGAAACTTCAGAGGGAAGGTTGAGAGTACCTTAAAGAATCTGCTGAAGTATCTAAATGTTTTGAATTACAATTCTGTGATTGTGGTCATCTGGGACTGAAGAATTGGCTGTGATTAAGAAGAGATCAGCATAATTGAGGAGTACTCTGGGAAGTGTCTTCTAACCCTCAGTACACAGAATTTTAAGTTGTGGTCCAGAGCAAGACAATGCTGTACTTTATGCTGACAACCCATCTTTGTAATGTAAAGACTCATCCAGGTGGTACAGGTTTTGGAGGCATGAAGGGACCATAGGCAATAGCTGAGGCTTGCCACTGTGATAGGTCATGAAAGGCCATTGGTGAAGATAGAAACCTGGTGCAATGGGGACCCCAGTGCTTTGAGATGTCAGCACTGTGGAATGACCACCAGGATAGCAGCAAGTGTAGAGAGAGGTGTCCTAAGCTTAGGAGAAACAATGTGTGTGCTTGGATGGAAAAGCAAGAGAAATGGAGCTGCCAGTGCCCTTTGGAAACCAGAAAATCTTTTACACTGTTGAATTTTGGTTCTGCTTTAATTTGAATGTAATTGGGACCTGGTTATCTCCTCTTGGAACAGAAGGTAGGCAACTTGTTTTTTATTTTGTAAGAGTTCACAGTTGAGATACTTTAAAATTTTAAAACTTTGGAATTTTAGGGAGACTTTGTGTATTTTTTGAGAGACTTTTTGTATTTTAGAGAGATATTGGGTATTTTCGAAAGACACTGGGCATTTTAAAGAGAGACTGGGTGTTTTGGAGAGAGATTGGATATTTTAGAGAGGCTTTGAAATTTGAAAGAGAATTTTGGTGCTTTAAAGAGACTGGACATTTAAAGTGTTTAGCTTCTAAGCAGTGAGGCTGAACACATTGATATCCAGAATTTGGTAGCCATAGATTGACATTGATACATATGTATGAAATTGTGTAATTTTGGAAATCTTTTGAAGTTGGGATAATTGGTCTAAATTCAAAAGCAATATAACAAAATTGCTTCAATTTTGCTTTAATAACAAAACAAATTTTATGTTCTCAAATAAGTGAAACCCACAAAAATTATACATTATTTCTGTCATCACATATCGGGTTGTGCTGGAAAGATTTGTGTTTGCACAAGTACCAACCCAAATAAAATCTCTCTATTGTAATTTTCTCTGGGGTCTGGATATCAGTAGTGCATGTAAGTTAGAATGCTGCTCTGAAGAAGGGAGTTTTACTGTTGAGAGCCTCTTTTCATCTCTTCCTCGGATATGGAGATGATCTGTTTTTTAATGTCCTAGGACTTACAGACCATGTCTTTTTCTTCACACTCTCCATTTTCCCTCTCTTGTGTCCTTGTGTGAACATTCTGTTTATTCTTGGGTTTCATTGAGCATGGATGATGCTCAATTTTTCTCAAAAAAAGAACCAATTAACAGACCTAGAAATTAAAATCCAATTATAGAAATGTCCATACAGGCATGATTCCTAAACTAAAATAATATAAATTGAATTATTGGACTCTGCATTCTCTGAAGTTTTTCAAGGAACTACGTGAACTCTTGATGAGCTCTAAAGGAGGATTTCAGCCTGTTGGGGGAATTTCCAGAAAGCAAATTTTTAGTTGCTTCTAATTTTCTAATTTTTGTTATTTTTTTCTTTACAAGTTTATCTGATGAGTGTTGAAAGACATGTGGATATAATAGTAAATTTAATTATACTCCTATTTAAGAATATAAAATTAGTATGTTCTCAACTAGTGACTCTTAGTCGTCTAGTCACAGGATTTTTGTCTCAGTAATGATACAGGTTTCCACTCATACATGCCTTAGATCAAATCACCAAATGGATGGTTAATGCCACATTTATGTCACTATTGCACCAGTGAGCATGTATTTCTAGACTGGTTGCTAGTGTTCCACCAAGGATCCACAGCTGAGTAAGGTTTTTTTTTTTTTTTTAATTTTCTTCCTCCAGTGTTGTGCATAGTACCTTCCAGAATTAAAAAATCTAGCCAGTAGGGACAAAAGCTTCCAGGTGAGTACCAACTTGATTTCCCCATGTTTTGTGACGCAATAATGTGGTGTCTTCTGTAATAGATTCTTACCACAAAGTTTTGACATGTAACCAAGAACATTGTTCATAGTCTATATATTGGGCTTCTATGAAAACTGACTGGCCAGTAATTTCAAGAGAGCAAATCCATTCATTCCTAGCACTGGGTATTTTGTTAACCTGTAGTGTCTAGTAGAAATACGGTTGCCCCATTATAGAGTAAATTCATGGAAATTCTTTATATATAAATATATATATATATATATATATATATACATATAAATATGTATTAGGAAGTTTCTACAGTGGTACATTTCCATCTCAGTTTTTGGAAATAAAATTATGGTTACTTACTCCTTTGTCTATTCCTTCTACTACCCTAGCCTCCCATTTCACACTCAAGTTTTCAAAGTTTATGAAAATTATATGGAGAAAAAAATGTGAGAATAGCTTTCTAAACAATGAAGAAAAATGGATACATCACAAACCTTGACAATAGGAACATGTTTTGTATATTTTGAAACATATGGTCTCAGTAATAAAAATAAACATAAATGGCAGAGTGCAATTATTTAAGTATTTCCTATATATTTTAGGAGACAGGAACTTTTTAAATAAATTATGAAGCTACTAAAGTCCCTGGAATGATTTAAGCATGACTTGTAGTTAGAAAACTGTGTCTTTGAACAAGTACGTATCACTAAGTCAAGTCTGAAAGGATAAATCAAGAAACCACTAATGCAAATCCATCCAATAAATTCTAGGTTGCTGCTCTGAAAAATGAGTAGATGTTTGGGAGATTGACAGTAATATAAACACAAAGGACCCATAGAGCACAAAATCTAAGCTCAGGAGAGAAAGGATGCTCCTGAGGAGTGTTTTGGCTAAAGCCTTAGTGGACAAGGGTCAGTGGCTCACATGGGCCATGTTACTTCAGGCATTGTTTATCCAGGATGAATCAGATGCAGTCCATTTGCATATAGGTCACTTTAGACTGGGAAAAATCAGACACGCACAGGCAGATATTCAGGAATGAAGCACTAAATAAGAATAGAAAAAGGACTCAGGATTTTAACACTCATAGCCCAGATTACGAGAAACTGCAACAATGACTGATTCCAACACTTTTCTCCCCCCACAACTGCCACTGGCCTAAGTCATCTAACATGGCTACTGGGGAAGAATTTCCTAGACCTGTTTATTAATACAGGAGTTCTACATCCATTTTGGACAGTGACACAGTTGTATTAACTCTGTTTTTCGGCCACATGCAATAGACATTATCAATTGGGGTCATTCACTAATACAGGAAAATCCTTGTTTTGGAATTGTCTGTATAAGTGTGTAATCCTATACCCATTTTTATCTTTTAGGATTGTCCATAATTTTAGAGATAATGAATAAATACAAGGCAATTGTTCTTCTAAAAGGATTCGAAAAGATGAATGACTATCAGTTTAGGACAATCAAGTCCTTACTAAGAAAAAATCTAAATCTAAATAAAAAAAAATCAAGATGCTTTGACAAAATTCAGATTTCTGACCTGATGGAGGACACATTCCCAGAAGATTCTGGACTGGACACACTGATAAAAGTGTGTCAAAAGAGTAAAGATCTTAAACACCTTGCTAAAATACTTAAAAAAGAGAAAGCAAAAGGTAAGGGGGATTACCCTGGACACTCATCCCTCGGCCACTCTCCCCAAACTTTCTAGCTCCCTGCAGTGATCAGAGCTGATCTGTCCCTTTCCCATGTGTGCTGTAGAAATTAAAGGGGTTGAAGTGTTTCAGACTAGTTGAAAATTATAAGGAATCCTTTCTTAGATACAAGCTTGACATATTTTCTGGTAGACATCTTTATCTTTTGCTTTGGAGGTAAATAAAATAAAATGCAGTTGTAATAGATTACAGTACCCCACTGCTGGGTTCTCTGGCAGAAAGAGTGGGGAGGGGCAAAGCTAGGCCCACTGGACTCTCCCTTGCGCTAAATGGGATGATGAGTGTCACAACTCAGCCACCCTCCCACCCGGGGCACAAGGGAGAAATATACCCACCGAGTCAGGAGTCTGTCAAAGCAGAAACTCGTCTATTAGTATCAAGCAGGGACTTATATAGGGTTGTGATGGGGGAGGAGAGGCCTGGGATGGGCCAAGGTGGAGTAAGGAATGAAGGCCAATAATATTCTACCACATTTGTGGTAGCTGGCCAGAGGTGGGTCTAGGTCAGGTAGTCAGAGACAGGTCTCCAAACTCTAGCTTGGCTCAGGAAGTTACACTAGGTCTCATGCAAACACAAGTAAGACTCAGGAAATTACACCGGGCCTCACTCCCAGGCTTCATGAGGCCCAACACTCAACATGTTGGAATAATTAGAAAATGATAAACTAAAAATTTTAAAAATCATTTAAAGCATTTAAATAACATAAATTTAATACTTTAAACAATATTGGATATACTGGTACACAACTCTGACCTGAGAATTGACCACAAGGAAACTCTGTCAAGGAGACATCTAGATTGAGAATACCCTGAGTTGCATAGAAAGATATATCCCCAATATAGAAGTCAAAATACAATGTTACTATGTATTTACTTCAAATATCCAATCATAATTCTTTCGCGTTTTCTGTGATTTGGAATTATCCTCCTAAGAAGTAACCTAATGCTATTATCATAAAGCATCAGGTTTATAAAATCAGTCTGTGGGATAAGATTGTTGGCACAGGCTTGTTCTGACATAAACAGAAGTTCCCAGGATGGAGAAGCTGAGTCCACTATGCTTGAGATGAGCAAAGAATCCCCTGAGGTGGTGCCTGTGTCTGACTTGTTATCATTGGCGACTTTCTGGCCAGGTAGAGCCTCTGCAGCAGAAGAAAATAAACACACAGACACAAGAAGAGACTAAATAGTTCTTGAAATTGTTACATAAAATTTGATTGCACTTTCCACCCTGAGATTGCATTATTTACTGAAAAAAAAAAAACTGTTTCGAGGTTTGGAATGGCTCAGCCCTAGCACACACCTTTAATCCAAGAGCTTTCTGGTTGAATATTGTAAACAGGTTAAAACAAATTCAACCACATGCCAAGAGATGGAGCAAGCAACCAGTTGACAGGAAGTGAACATAGGGTTACTAGGAAAACAACCATAGAGAGTGGGAGGAAGTCAGGGCAATGGATAGAAATGGATAGAAAGAAGCACAAAAAGATGATGTGAGGGACATTCAGGTTGAGAGATTTTGGTTTGAGACAATGAAGGAAAAGGGGTTTATGGTACATCAGTGGAATAGGAAGGTCAGCTGGGTGCTTTCTCTGCCTCTGTGAGCTAGCAAGCTTTCACCCCAACATCTAGCTTCTGAATCTTTATTGGTAAACATGAACCAGGGAGGTTTTCTTAAAAACAGCATGAAATTGTCTTTCTGTAAAATCACTAATAAAATGGAATAAATTACCCGTTTCATTTTTTTTAAAAAAGAAAGACAAATACTTCTGAATAAGCTTCAGCCATATTAACCATTTTCCTGGACTTAGTGTGTTTTCTTCATCCCTGTAGTTAAAAAGCCAAATAAAGAAAAAGTAAAAACTGCAGTGAAAAAAAAGGAAGCAAGAGGAACCCAGTAGTTCACAATCTCTTTCCACTGATAATGAACCAAGCAAGAATAAGCCCTCTTCAAAGGTAAGGTAGCTAACCTCCCACCAAAAAGTTTTTTTTTCAGGTTCTTCCCTTCTTAATTTTTATGAGAGATGTAGTACTCTATCTAGTACAAGGCTCTGTTAAAACAGAACTCCAAGTCAACAAATTCATAGTGGCCCATCCCTCATTCTGTGCTGAGTTTATCATGTGTTCTATGTTGTGCAGTATAACCCCCCAATATCAACCAAAAAAATCACTACATGGCTCTTTAAAGACTATTTACTGAAAAGGCAGTTGCTTTGGGATGAGGTTTTTAAAAAGATTAAACATAATATGGACTTTATATTTCCATATCTAATACTCTTTTGCCTCCACAGGGATGAATATGACAAGGTAAATGTAATTTTTCTACTCCTCTATGAGACAGTCCTATATGTCTTAGCTAGGGTTTTAATTATTCTGAAGAGATTCCCCTTCTCACAAAATGGCTACAGCAGCTCTTATAAAAGACCACAATCAATTGGTGCTTGCTTACATCCAGAGTGTTATTATTAATATTATATTATTAATAGTATAATTGGAAGCATAGCAGCATGCAGGCAGACATTGGTGCTGGAGAGGTAACAGAGAGTTCTGCATCCTCACAGGCAACAGTATCAGAGGGTGAGGCTGAAACTGACTTGACCATCTGAAGCATCAAGTCCCACCCCTCAGTGACACACTTCCTTCAACAAAACACACCCTCTCCAAAAAGGTCACACCTCCTAATACTGACACTCCCTCATGACCAAGTATTCAAATCTATGAGTATATGGGGCAATCCTTATTCAAACCACCATACTATACAATCTGTCTGTTAAGACTGAGGTATGCACAATGACAAAAATTTATAATCAGAATCCAGTAATAAAACAAATTTTCTTATGGTCTTAAAAATATGCTTTATTTAATACTAAAAACATTCCTAAGGGCTGGGGATAAAACTGTATAGAAAAGCACATCTTAGCATGTACAAAGCCTGGAGTTCAATTTCCAACACACAGGAAAATCAATAAAGAAAGACAAACATTGTTCTTTCAGAAAAAGAGTAAAATACCCACAGAAACTGAAGGTGGCAAGAAAAGGAAGCTTACCCAGGAGCAGATCAACTTCCAGAAGCTCCAGAAAGCAGCATACAAAAAAATGAACATTGTCTCCAGACTCCTCATAAGCCTCCACCAATACCACCCAGCAGTTCCTCCAACAAGGTACCACTTTTATATTCTCAGTGCTTGCACCTTCCCAGAGCATATCACTGGGTTCACCACAGCCTTGGAAAAACATCTCACTGATCCCCTACTTCAGGGATTTTCCTCATATTATTAAATAGCTTATTAAGTTATCAAATCATGTATCACAGCCTTTGTGGAATGATTTCTAATGTTGTAGACCAACTTTCTGCTTAGGGTTCAGAAGGAAGTCTAGAGGAAACTGTCAGGGATAAACATAAGAATGTGTTAATCTTCATTGCCTTCTTTCTTCTCAGCCCTTTTCCCTTTGCTGGTGACCCAACCACAAAGGTTATTTTCACCATTATGTGTTCCTTTCAGCACGTGTTTTGATACATGCTGTTTCCATTCTTGGAAGTCTTTTATCGCTGTTCATTTCCTAACCAAACACTATATAACTGAAATGATCACTTTTGCTGAGAGTCAGCTTCAGACCGCTCCCATCCCGTCAAGGCATACACTAAATTCTTCCAGCCACTCCTGTTCTATGATGGTTTACTCTTTTGACTTTACGAGGAGCCCACAATGCAGCTTCCAAATAAAGCACACACAGAAGCTTATTTTTAGTTATGAATGCCAGGCCCTAGTTTGGTTTCTTGCCAGCTTTTCTTACCTTATCCTATCTACTTTTTGCCTCTGGTTTTTGTCATTCTCTCATGTAATTCTTACTTTCACTCTTGCTCGGTGGCTGGCTGGGTGACTGGTCCCTGCTGTCCCCCTCCCCTTGTCCTCTGTTCTCCTCCTCTTCCTAGATTTTCCTTCTGTTTACATTCTCTGCCTGCCAGCCCTGTCTATCCTTGCTCCTGCCTCACTCTTGGTTGTTTAGTTCTTTATTAGGACCATCAGGTGTTTTAGACAGGAAAAGAATCACAGCTTCACAGTTAATCAAATGCAGCATAAAAAAATTCATATACCTTAAAATAATATTCGCCAACAATTCCTCATCAAAGGGAATGGATTCTTGTTCCCATTTTGATGCCTTCTACATAAAATTACAACCATAACTGAGAAAGAACTCCTCATCTAGTCTACTAATCATTTACTTAAATATATGTACATGTTAGGCATGTATTTTGAGAACCGCACTGTAATTTATACAAATCTCCTTATTTATTGCATGATACAATTGTGTTGTACATGCCATGTGACCAACATTTAATCTTTTTAAATGGCAGAGTCCTGGTATATGCATGGAAATGCCTTAGGAACGTCTAATTAACCGTGTTTGTAAATGATGACAGCAATGTAATTCAAAATGTACACAAGCCTGGAAAATAGACTACAGTAGTAGTTTTAACTAGAATCACATCAGCTTCATAGCAATTGTTGCATTAGAAATGGCCATTGCAATTATTCAAAGGAATTTTCATACTAACTTACCGTCACTTTTAAAGCAAAATTTTTAAATATTTATAATTTGTACTTTAAAGATTATGTAAGTGTAATGAAGACCCTAACTAGATTGATTGCCTGAGGAACAAGTACTTCTCATATATGTAGAAGTTTGATTTAACTGAAGTTATGGCTATTTTAAAGACCTATACAAGGGTTTAAATGGGTCTGGATGGGCTTCACGCATGTGAGTCCAGTACTCTGTCAACTGAGATACATCCGATCCATCAAAAGATATCTTTGTGGTCCATTTTTTAGGATATTTTTCACACAATTTCTATAAGGTCACTTGAAGAGGTATAACTGTGTATGTGTGGTGGGGGAATCCCGTGTGTACAATAAAAAATGAATATATGATGATTGGAAAGTCTACATGAACAAAAATATAGAAATGGCCAATTTTATCTCAGGCTTCCTTTCCCATAAAATGACACAAAGAGTTGAATAAGGCCAAGTAATATTTGGACAGTTTTGTGAGATACTTGAGCTAGTAATCCATCCCAGACCAGTGAAATTTCAATACCAGACTTTTAACAGGAGTTGTAATATCGATCACTAAGGATGGAATCTTGGTGCTAGAAATACTAAGTATGTTCTAAAATACTTCCTTCAGCCCAGGAGAAATGTGACAGGTTTGAAAATTCCCTTTTCAAAAGAGAAAGTGAAAGGATGTATTTGGTCTTATTTCTAAAAACCATTAAGCAGCATTAAAGATATCTCAATTATATTTTCTTTTAGAAACAGAAAAGGATAAATATCAAAACCCAGAGGACTTTTAAAACAGAGATTTCCCAGGAAGAACAGCAGCTTCCAGAACTGTCAGATACCAGCAACTCCTCAGCTGCCAGTGAACTCCAAAATTGTCAGGGACTCTTCACAACAGCTTCTAGCAGCCTTCAGACTCCCCAGACACCTCCATGCCCTGCTTTAAAAAAGACTCAGAGCTCTCCAGGACCACCCTGCCAGAATTTTCTAGCATCTCCAGAATCAGACTCTAGCACCCATCTGATCTCTCATTTGGCTCTAACCCTGTCCAGTAGTGTCCAGGATCCTCAGGTACCTTTAGGAACAACATCTGAAAGTCCCCTGGCTCCGTATATGTCTCCACCAACAGCATCCAAAAGTCTCCTTGCTCCAAGAGGGTCTCCAGCAACAGCAGTCAGTGCTCTCCATGACCCTCTGGGGTCTCCAGCAACTACAAGCAGCCGTTCATGCAAGGTAATGGCTTCCTACTCTCAAAGTTTAATAACAAATATTAGCACAAGCCTGCAAGACTTCTTCATTAATCTATATGGACACATAATCTTTTACTTAAATAATCACTATTTTTATGGTGTATAATTACTGATCCTTCCCTACATTCAATTTTAGAATACGTTGTATGTTCTACTCCATTAAGAAAATGTCTGACTCAACGATCACCTGATCATGACTACTCTGTAAAGAGTATGCTGAGTCACGTGCATATTTAATTTTGCACATTATACTTTTTATTCAAGGTGTTGTTTTCAGATTGTGAATCGCTGCTGCAATTATATTGGAAGTGTACTTCCTGATGTTAGAACACATCAGTTGGTAATCAGAGTTAAGTCTCATCACCCACAGGGTGAAGTCTGCATGTTTCCAAGTCAAGGGTCAGAAAGTGCTTCAGTTATAGCTGCCTCCCTGCGCTGGTACCCAGGTCGGCAGTGACTGTCCATGTACTTCCTCCTTCAGTTCTACAGTGTTGCCTCCATTTCAAAGTGCTCTCCTGATGCTCAGAAACGGAGTAGCATACTGAGAAGGCAGGTGATCAAAGTAAAATGACCTCATGAACATTTTCTGGTCACAGGATTCTCGTCCATGCCTGTTATTATAGAAAAAGAAGAGCTACTAATCTGAACCCTTTCTGAGTAGCAATATTTGAGGGTATCTTCCTAGGATGCCTACCTTTATCCTATTATAAGAAAGCTCTAATTTTTAGTCAATGTTTTGTAATCAAACTCTTCCAAATGTTTCTAGAATGAAAACTTGACTAGAGCATTGGGGGCTTTGAGTTCAGCCCCCACAACTGTAAGTATAATCCCTTTGTCTACCAAGTAACATTCATATTAACTGGAATCACAAGGTAATAATTCAGGTAAATATCTATTTCTCTCTTTATTTAGATTATAGTATGACAATCATTGTTCTCCACTGTACTCAGTGGAATTGTGCCTTAAGATCTGTCTGAATTATACATGTTTATATTGTGTGTGTTTTATGTAGACACCAAGGAGAAGAAACATACCCAAGGAACCTGCTAAGGAAGAAGGTTACCATCGAGAACCCAAAGAAGTGATGGTTTTGAAAATAACAGAACCATTTACTTATGATTTGACTGATGACAAAAGGATGTTCCATGCCACAGTGGCGACTGAGAATGAATTCTTCAGAGTGAAGATTTTTGAACCAGTGCTAAGGAATAAGTTCATTCCAAATAAGATTATTGCCATATCAAATTATTTTGGCTCAATGGATTTCTGGAAATACACGAAGCTTCCTGTGTGTCTGATGTAGACAAGAACAGAACAATGAGTATCTCAAAAACACTGAGGCAAAGAGCTAATGCGACTCCTAAAATTAGGGATCTTTTCTCACAGGCACAGGGGACATATGTGAATGGAGAGTTTGTGGTCTATAAGGTAAGCCATTTTGATACTTGGGAAATTCCTTTTGCAGTCTGGGATTTTAAGTTTAAACTTGTCACTGGAATTTGCTCAACTTATTTAACATAGGAAGTAACTGCTCTTCATGTCAGAGATGAGAACGGTTTCCTTATTTGGGGATTGGGGGAAGCTCTTATCATTCTTCTCCACAAGGTGAAACCATGAAAAAAATCTTTAGAAATCGATTCATCAATAACTTTGGCATTTTCCTCACTGTGACAATCAATTATATCCATATTATCCCTAGACAATGTTCAGTTTATAGCACACTTTCCTGTTAGATTCTGTATCTTTGATAGCTTCCATGCCCATATTATTGGCAACTCAGGTGTGCTTTGCTGTTTTTTTTTGATCTGTTCGTTTATTTTCTCTATGGTGTCCTCAGCATCTGAGAGTCTTTCTTCTAGCTCTTGTATTCTATTGATTATGCTTGTTTCTGTAGACTCTGCTCGTTGGCCTAGATTTTCCATATCCAGCTGGTCCTCATTTTGTATTTTCTTCTTTGCCTTCATTTCAGTTTTCAATTCTTGAACTGTTTCCATTACCTGTTTGATGGTTTTTTCTTGGTTTCCCAGCGTATCATGTACGTATTTACTCATTTCTTCAAACTTTTTGTTATACTTCTCATCCATTTCTATAAGGGCATTTTTTACATGTTGTTTAGGGACTCTATTATCTTCATAAAGTCGATTTTTTCCACTTCTTCTGTGTTAGGTTGTTCAAATACTTCTGTTGTAAGATCATTGGGTTCTGATGTTTTCATGTTGTTTTTCGGATTATTGGGTGAGTTCTTGCCTTGGCGCCTGCCCATCTCCTTCTATTGATCCTATCCAATGGATCCTTTAGAAACCAGATCAGGTTTCCCTGCTGGCCAAGGGCTCCGCTTACAAAATGCCCTCACTCTCTTTCGTGGTTCCTGCTGCAGGCCAAGAACCCTCTCACCCCTCCGAAGGATCTTCAGGACAGGACCAGGCTCCCCTTGTGCCAGTGACCTGGCCAACCAAAGGCCTACCTCTTTGATTCAATTGTAGTAGGGCAATCTGCTCTCCTTATTGCACGCCTTTCCCAGCCGCTTGGGTCTGGCCGCGCTCCTCCGCGTCTGGCCGCGCTCCTCCGCGTCTGGCGCCGCCGCCGCTGCGCCTCTGTGCGTCTGGCCGGCAACTCAGGTGTGAAAAGAGCCAAACTCAAAGCCTACATACAGTTTGAGATGATGAGAATAAAAAGGAAGAGACTATTCTGGCCGAGATTGAAGTCATGGCCAACTAACCAAGATCATTTTTTAATGTGTTCTCATTATAATATTCTTTACATTATATCAAGATCTTTTGATAGGGTGATTAATGTTTTAAATAATGAAAGGTAGAACAGATTAACAGTCTTCCTAGTTTAATTTCACAGTTTATAACTAGGCACAACAAAAGTGAGGAAATTCAAGGAAATCTGTGACTTTTTAGTATTTTTTAAGTGCCAATGTACCAATTCATTAGTATGCTTGTTAAGTGTATAATTTTATAATTCATTGTTTATGAATCACTCATGGCTTTTTACTTTTATCTATGCTGTTTTTGACTGCTCTGGTGCTTTTGGTTACACAATTAATAAGTAAACTAAGTGGGGCATGTACTTAAACGCCAGAACTAAAAGCTGTAGTTTTAATCCATGAGAGGTTAGGAAGGAGTAGAGTGAACAATGTGTGCAAGAGCAAATGTGATCCATTTAAAAAGGAGGTGAGTGTCTGTCTGTGTGTGGGGGGGGAGGGGTTGGGTGTGTGGCGAGTGAGTGTATCAGTCTTTACGTCTGTCTGAATGTTAGTTTCTATTTGTATGTCTGTGTATTTGTTTGACATACTATTTCTTATTTTTGTTAGTGTGTTCCTTTTGTTTCATTATTGTTAATTTTCTTCTTTATTCACCTGTTTGTTTTCTTAAGAAGGAGAGAAAGAAGCTGTGGAGTTGGAAAGGTAGGGAAGTGAGGAAAAACTAGGAATAGGGAAGGAAAAATTATTATTAGATTAGGTTTCATGAAAATAATTTATTTTCAATAAAAATTAAAATAAATTAAATTAAAAAGACTTATAGTTGTGTTTCTCAGACTGACAATGAGCCACAAGTAGCCTTTCTTCTCAGGCCTCCTGGAGATGCCTAAGAAACCTGCAATGGTAACTAAGGGATTCTTGCTGTATTATTCTTGTTTTCATTTATAGTCCCTTAAGAAATCTCAGATATTCTTATATGTTACCATAGTACTTAGAAAAATACTCATTTTTTTTCCTAAAAACACCCAGCAGAAGAAATCATCAAGTAGGTAACACATAAGCGTGGCTTCCAAGGGCTGCAGTGCTGACCCAATCATTAAGGCTAGGCCCACAAGGCTTCAAGAGGGAGTTCAAAGAAAAGATTTGTTCACTAAAACATCTTAAACTCTCTGGCTCCTGAAAGCCTTTTTTTAGTAATTTATTTTGTCTGTGAGGGATGGGAAGAAACACAAAAACTTTTAAAGTATTGTGGAAGTCAGGAGAGAAGCTCCACAAATTAGTTCTCTCTTTCTACCATGATAGCTGCTCATTGAGGCCAGGTAATCAGGCTTGCCAGCAAGCACCCTTCCCCACTGAACCATCTCACTGGCTCTTGTGCCTGTGATTCTAAACCTAAGAGCCATCTTGCCTTGGCAGGGACAGGTTTATGCCGACACTCTTTATTCCTCATAGTGGTGACAAGCTTTGACATATGTTCTAAAAGAAGAATGTTTACTTGCTTTTCAGAAAACTGAGAGGAATCCCTTCATTTACTATGGAATTGAAGATGATATAGGGACAATGGAAGTGGTGGTCTTTGGAAGACTGACCAATATAAAGTGTGAGCCAGGCCAAAAACTTCGACTCATCTGTTTTGAATTGTCCTCAAGGAAAGATAAATGGCAGCTGAAGTCTGTAAGACACAGTTACATGCAGGTGTGTGCCTTGGAATTTAATATTATTAAAAATTATTCATATATATGATTTCATAAATACATATATATCGTGTACTTGACTGTTGGCATTACATAGACAATCCAACATGATAATAAAAACTAACTTTTCACATTTAATGATGAAATACCTTCTAGTATCTTTTAAGTAAATATTTCTAAATCATAATAAAGAAAATAAATTCAAAAGTTGTTATATGTTTAGCTAAATGACAAAAAGTATCTCCTTTATCAAAGCAGAGAGATAATTTGACAGGACTCAGGTTAATTAAGATTTTTGTTCATATTCTGACTCTTTGATTTTTCAAACTGAGTAAAGACTAAAGCACAAAGAATCTTGGAGTCTTCATCTATAATATTCAAATACTGTCTGTTGCAGAGCATGATGTACAGAAATCATAAGTTCCTAAGGATTCCCTGGGCCAATAAGACCAATATGCGCTAAAATCCACAATCCTTGGCAGACTTATACATTATGTGGGATCCATTTTACACTTTAAAAAGGGCCACTATAACCATGTGAATAGAAGAAATAGAAGGGATCACATGTTCATTCACATAGAAACACTCTTACAGCACCATGATTCTCAGACCACCAGCCAAAGTTTCAAACCTTCCCCCATGGCAGCTGCAACAGCAAAGTCCTTTCTCCCTCCTCTCAACCTGCCTGTTCAATGAGACTCTGCAACTCAATCTATACCTAAGGAATGAAAGCTCTTTCCTCTCTTATGGAGCTCTGTGTCATAACCGGGCCTTCCAGCTGTGTGCTCAAGTCTGTAGGAATGAGTAGCTACTCTCATAGTCCCAATAAGGGAAGAAAGCTGACTTCAAGGACAGAGTGACATTTAAGGAGAGAGACCAGTGAGAAATTGGATGTGACCCACAGGGACACGTCAGTATGAATATAGAGTTTGGAGCCATTTGAATTTCACTTGATCTGACCTCATCATCTTCTTTTTAAGGTCGTCGATGTCAGAAAGAAAGTCACTCAAGCCTGATGTAGATCAGAAAACCTGGATGCCAAGATACTGTTTATGGAGATAAGATCCAAGTCCAGAAAACACATGTATACATGAACTGTTGCAATACCATATCTATGAAAGCCATCTCTTTTTTAAAGTTTTCCAAGACAGGATTTCTCTGTTTTATCCTTGCTGTCCTGGAAAACACTTTGTAGACCATTCTGGCCATGAACTCAGAGATCTACCTGCCTCAGCCTCCTGAGTTCCAGGATTAAAGGCATGGACCACCACCACGAGACCTGCTCTTAATTCTAGGAAATGATGATTTCTTTTATTGTTTATACACCTTTAATGATTTAAGTTCTATTTTTTCTATCAATAACTTTATACATGTTAATCTATAAGTTTTACATATAAAACTTAAAAATAAAATCACATTTTGATAAAGAAATGATTCCTTGGAAATATCTTTTAGCCATTTGAGAGTTGCTGTAAAATCAAAAGTATAGAATACAAACTTCACATGTGATGTTAAAGACCAAGCATGCCAAAGAACAAGTAGTCTGTGTCTACGCCAGAAAACTCAAGGCATTAATAAAAGACACAGGTGAAGGTTGAATTCAGCCTTGAATTCAGACTCCACTTGTTTGATAACCACAGTTACACTTTCCAGCCATTATCTGCATCTCCTGTGTACTTACATTATTCTACCAATATATCTGAAGCCTAGTGACCACATGGGCACCAACATACATCTGGTCTCTCTCTCTCTCTCTCTCTCTCTCTCTCTATATATATATATATATATATATATATATATATATATAACAATGAAAATGTTTGCTGCCCTTAGAAATACTTTCATGATTTATATATAATCAAATATTTCACAAAGAAAGAGGATCTGATCCAGACTAGTTCAGGTACACGTACAATAAGACAAACTGTATCCTCAAAGGGAACTTTTATGATGAATATCATGTTGTTCACTTTCTCCTATGTATAATTGTGTGTATATAATCACATAAATTACTGTGTTGAAAGGACATGCACAGGAAGTAAATGCCTACCTAAACTAATCCTGTCAGTTGAAATGAAGATCCACCCATGTCACACCCCCACAGCACCCCAGCTCCTTCTCCTGAACCCCATGAATGTGGCTCCAAACAGATGCTGGGATTCCTGAGAACCTTTCCTCATGCGAGCACTGTTGCTCTTCACAAATATTCCCGTCTGATCTGTACTATAACTGTGCTTTGAGAAAAGTTTTCAAGGCTTCTTTAAAATCTATGTGAGCCTTTACCCCCAAATCTTCTTGGCTTAGTCTCTGACCACCCCATATAATATGACAAAGAAACAGGAAAAACCACACCAAATGCTGAAGTTTAGTCTTGGGTTCCCGAGCTTGCAGGTTTGTGAGTATTACATTTATCTTCCTTATACAACACTTTCTCTGTAGTGTCCTAACACACCCAGAGAGAAGAAAATGATAATTTTCCGTAACAGTAAGGGACAGGGAATTGTATCTTTTACAGACGTAAAGTTTTAGTTTGTGTGATATGCAAATGAAATGCAACAAAGATGAGGGTACAGCAACAAATCCACCTACATAGATTAGGCTGGAACCATTCTCTGACTCTTTTGTATGAGAATATTTCGCAGGAGGTATAAACAAGTATCTACTCACCCCAAAACAAGTTCAGATCCAATTAAGTTCAATTTTTTGAACCAATAGGATTTATTTTTATTGTGTTCCTTACAGGAATATTGATGAAGTGTTACTTGCAAAAGCAGAAATGCCTCAAAGAGAGCTATGTCACTAGTTTATCCCAAAATGAGCATCAGCTCACAGTAGCCAGAAATCTGGAGCACCTTTAACAGACTGTAGACAGTACAATGCTTTGGAGAGTGTCCTTTTCAGGTAGTTAAGGTGGTCTGAGCCCCTTCTGTACAACTTGGTTGGTATCTACATTTTCCAGGCACATTAGCTTGTCTGAGCATGCCTAGCAACATCCTGGATATTCTATAGGAAGGAGGACAAAATTATATCTGGTTACAAGGATTCCTAAAACCCCTACGTTATTTATTTATTGACCTGAATGATTTTGCTTGGAGGATGCAAGTGCCCACCGTTGTTGAAATATCCTGCTATTCTGCATCCTTTTGTTAACTCCCTGTGTTTTACCAATCTATCCTTTATGATGAAAGATTTTGATCTTAAAGGAAGCTAAAGACTCCCAGATGTTTACATAAAGAATCAGTTTCTCTGTTGCCTGAACTTAAAGCCACCCCAAGCATAGAGAAAGAACAGTAGCACTGTTATAAGCTACTTTCAGGACTTTTCCACAAAAGAGAAAATAGGACACCTGGCACAATGTGGCACCAGTGTCACAGTGGTAACTGGAAGCATTCTGATTGTATTTGAGGCCTGGTACACAAGAGAAAATTGGTACCTAGCATTATACACCTCGTCAAAACCTCTCACCTGGAGGCCAGCAGACTCTAGGGTGAAACCTTACAACTTATTGTCAATTTTCCTTTAAAATAACCTTGTTTATATCCACAGGTTAGTGCTACACACAGGATTGGTCAAGAAGCTTCTGTTTGCAGGGAGATGCTACTAATCCTGAGATGCAGATGTAAAACCTGCAGGGGCCCATAGTGACTCCATTTCTCTCTCAACTCATGGACAGAGAGTTAAAGCTTGTCAAGGCCAAATAACAGGTTGTTTGATTTAGGGTGTGCTTACTAGATATGTTGCGTATTAAGGAGGTTATTATGAATGTTTGTTCCCTGTATCATTGGTAAGGAAGTCTTTTCCACTCCCCTTTTGCTTGGGGTATATAAAATTTATGATTAATATTCTTGGGGCTTTTTTATGTATTCACAGAGAGGCCTCCCAATTCTATCTTCTGTCTTCTGTCTCTTTCTTTTTCAATCCTCACCCTACTTTCAGGCATATTCGAAGAAGTCCCTCAACTACACAAAGAACAAGCTTGGTGACTGTGCCTTTGGTGACTTAATTACTAAGTATTGGACTCTCCTAATTAATTGTTACTTTTTTGGGCAAAAAGACTGCCAATCATACAGCCAGTCAGATGACCCTTATAGCAACTCTGACTATTTAGAACAATGTACAGATATCCTGAGGAAACTATGGAATTTTAGCTCCTGGCTTTGCTCTCAAAGATTCAGTTTCAGGGATCTTTTTTCAAATACTTTCTATCAGACTTTGGTTCTTCTACTATAAAACTTTAAGAATATATGTGATCTTGGAATCTTTTCCATCTAAGCTAGAGCCAGAGCACTTCCCCAATACCTAATAGAAAGATTTCTATTATTGGTGAAAATAGGAAATTTTACTTGTGTGTGATGCAGTCTGTATCTAGTCTACAGAAATCCTTCTCTGCTATCAGCGAGCAGCTCAGCATCACTGGGTGGCCTGGGAGAAAATGTCCACTGGAAACCCTTACAGAAACTCAAGATTAGTCCTTCTATGCCAGTTTTTTAAAGATTTATTATTATTTTGACAGTGAAGGTCAAGCTGGTAACATGAAAAAATGACCAGTCATTTCTCCTGGTCTAGCTTCATCCCTTTGTGATTCTCTAAAGCACAAAGAACCCACCCGTCTCTCTACAAGGGACGTCAGAGCCATTATACTTAATGGAAACCCATATTGACCACCTGCTTACCTGTGCCCTTTGCCTTGTCCATTCTTCTTTCTCCAGAGTACTCTTAGAGCATCTGCTGCCTTCTTTCTTCAGCTCCTCCACATATGTTACCTTCATTCATAAAGACCAACAAAAGCATAAACAACCAAGATCATTTATCTGTGTCGTAACTAAGCCCCCAACCCTTAAAGGGATGAATGCAAAGTCGGGGCTCCCTTCCAGATTCTGGATTAGGCAAAAACCATACCCAATGCCTGTTTTCATAGGGAGATCCCTTATTAAGCAGGGAAGAGAAGTTAAAGTGGCCACTTTCTGGTTCTGACAAAAAAACAGCAGCAAATGACCTTGTAGGTACAGTTTTAAAAGGAGGAAAAAGGGGAGGTCTGTGATAGAATGGGCTAGGATGCAGTGGTAAAGGAGATAGGGGAGTAAGAGAAGGAAAGGGGACAACGGAGAGGGGAAGTGGTATTTGTCCTGGAAGAACAAAAAACTGCCCGTGGATAGAGGGTAGACAGATGTTGGGCACATAGGGAAATTGCAATCTATTAGGGTATCGGGGGAAACACCTGTTAGGATGAGGTATTCAATTTTAACTGGTCATGTAAACTAGGTTAGTCATAAAGGACTTCTGATTGCTGGATTTTGTTATTCTGCGCCTCGGAAAGAAGTGATCAAAGAAAGGAATAGACATTGATGCTAGCTTTAGGAATGTATTCTAATGTTTTTTTTTTTAACAAGACAGTGGGATTATGGGAGAAGAGCAAGGGCTGCAAGAGTCACAAGGTCTAGTGGGCTAGTGTCTCTTCAAAAC